ATATTAAAATGAAGAACGTGTACTTGGAAGAATTAAGGTTGGAAGGAAAAATAAATGAAAAAGCTCTGCTAAGACCTAAGAGGCGAGATGGCTCAGCAATCTAAAGTGCCTGCTTAGACAAAGCACAGGGATAGCAATTGGATCCCTGGCACCACATGCCCTGATAGCCCTGCCCCCAGGGCAGGCCGAGCATACCCCAAGGAAAAAAAAAGACCTAAGCATCATGGGTTAGTTTTCTGAGTTCCTTTAATGTTCTAACATTATTTTGTAATGTTCTATATTAAATGGGAAATGTTACCATTTTAGCTCTGTAAGGGCTATTATAGTAATAATTCAATTGCTAAAATCTGAGTATATAATGTGTTAGCAAGGCAAAAATTCACGAACAGAAACAAAGGGCAGACAATTTGTAACACATCATTCACCTCTCAACAAACTAACTGGTAGAACATTTACCACTGATCCTGATAAACTGAACCTGAGCAGTGTGAACTTTTCAGATGACCTTCTTGCTCATTACTTCACCTGTCTTTGGGTTTCCCAAATGCTTTTTAACCGTTGGGAATCATTTAGAGGACTTCTTAAAGCTCTTCTGTTATTATCCTGAACACTTCATGCAGCTGTGGCGGGCCAGGGTTTTCAGACTGGGCCAAATCTAAACTGAATGATGCTGGGATTAGGATGTGTGATCAGGTCACTGATGGAGCTGGCACCGCGCCCTACTCCCAGCGGCCTGAACAGAGTATAAAAGGGACAGAAAGATGCTGCTGGTTCCTTGCTGACTTTGCAGTCTTCTCCCCCCCAGGCAAGGCTTTCCTGCCATGCTGCCTAGCCCTGGAGCCAGCCAACTATGGACTGAAACCTCACACACTGTGAGCTGCGTAAACCTTTCCTGCCTTAACCCTGGATGTCAATGTCTTGTCTCTGCAACAAGAGAAAAGTAACTGGGACACCTTCTATTTCCATAAGGCTTTGTTAGTACTAGAGTTCAGAATCCAGGGCCGAGTCTGTCCAATGTTCCAGAAAAGAAAATACGTGAAGTCCATTAAAGAAGGTTTCATAAAAACACTCAAAGTCACAGTTCCCATATCCCATATAAAGAATGAAAAAAAAATCTATTTAAAATTAAAATCCTCAAATTCCAGACTAGATTACTAAATCAGTTCTGTGAATCATTCCCAAAAAAAAAAAAAAAAAAAAAAATGTTAACAATACAAACAAGATTTAAAGTTTAGAGCTCTATTTTGTGGAAGTGATAGCCTAAGACAATTCTATTCATCTCTAAATGTGAAAGAACTTACATACAAATAAGGCCTCAAATAAACGCATTTGCCAGCTTGTTTTAGTCACGTGGCTTAAGTACTACCGTTTTCTATCTAGAAATTAATATGAGTTGAAATCTCTGTCCTCTTATAAAGCAAACTTCATGTGTGTTTAATAGAGTAACTTACCTTTGGGAAAAGTGTTTCAAAAAATAATATTATTCTGAAGATATTTTAAAAGTTATCCACAGGTACTTCATTTCTGGAGCAAAAATCCCTTTGCCAGCCTTATGGATTTTAAAACTAGAAGGAAACTTCAAAACAACTGATACCCATGATTTTCTAATGGGGAAAGAATGGACCAGAAAGGCTTAATATAATCAGTCACACAACTAATTAGAAGAAAAGGCAATAAAGGACACCAAATTTCCTACAAATTGCATTTCTGTAATCAAATAATGCAATCATACGCTTCATATTTTTTTAAGATGCTTACAGAAACATTACACATAAAGAGGTTTGTTTTTTCTGTTCATAAGATGGGTTAAAAAAATAAGATCTCACCATTTCATCTGGTACTCCATGCCGATCAAACTGATACAATGATGCCACATGAGTGATAATCCACCAACTAAAACCTAATGGATCTCTGGACTTGATTGCAGGTATAGATCTTTGTTCACTTGATGTTTCAAAAAGTGTTTTAAGTATTTTATTCATCCAGTTCCAAAATGACTAGAAAAGTAGAGGTAACATGATTTAGTTAAATAAAGACACTGTTTCAGACTGAAAATTATTCCTCCATTTCCTAAATGAAGTATACAAACAAAACAATATAAATCACTGACACAAAGCTTAAAGAATAATTTTTTTAAATACCCAGGTTAAGAATTAGAGATTAAAATTAGAGAAAAAGGAGGGCAACAAGGAAAGCCAACATTTTGGCCCTAGCCTTCTAAGGTCAATTAAGACTCAGGACATATGAGAACTTGTACTGTAATGTCATAGAACTTGGTAGTGTCCCAAATTTTCTGATCAAGAAGATTATGGGGCCAAAGAGGAAAGTGATCAATGATGTAGAGTGGGCCTAAGGAGAGTCACATGGGGAGAAGACATTCTCTCAGGCTTTCACAGAGAGCACATTGGCCAAGCAATGGCCGTGACTCATCCACATGGCTGACACTGACAAAGGTTCTAGAATCT